ATGTGTGCTATGTGTCTGTGTGCTATCGTGTCTGTGTCTGTGTGCTATGTGTGTCTGTGTGCTCTGTGTGCTCTGTGTGTCTGTGTGCTATGTGTGCTATGTGTCCTATTGTTGTCCTATTGTTGTTGCTATTGTTGTTGCTATTGTTGTTGCTATTGTTGTTGCTATTGTTGTTGCTATTGTTGTTGCTATTGTTGTTCCTATTGTTGTTGCTATTGTTGTTGTTCTTGTTGTTGCTATTGTTGTTGTTCTTGTTGTTGCTATTGTTGTTGTTCTTGTTGTTGCTATTGTTGTTGCTATTGTTGTTGTTCTTGTTGTTGCTATTGTTGTTGTTCTTGTTGTTCTTGTTTTTGCTATTGTTGTTGCACTTGTTGTTGACCACATTTGAGGAAGTGAAATTTGAGCAAAATATTCAAACATGATATTTGGTATCATCTAACCTGGTAGGTTCGTCTCAAGCAGTTGCCAAACGACTTGATTTATCTCCCAAAGGCTCGTTCATATTAAAACTGGGCACTATCGCGGCTGGTTGTGGCAGTGGCGCTATGAACGGGTTGTTCAGTAAGAATCTTCAGTCGGGTATTGTTTTATATATTCATAATCGATTATATAATCAGTGACATTAACACTGAAGTTTCACCCGTTTAACGTGAAGTGGCGTAATACTTTGCCGTGTATTTTTCCGCGACCGATAACACAATTGTTTCCCGCCAAGTGAATTGTTAAATACTATTTTAGCACGCGCCTCAGTGCGTCGATCGGGAGTTCGATTTAGCCAACCAAACTCCTAGTGTATACTCGTTATATGATTACTCTCATTATGCTGAGAGATTGTATGAATATTCGCCGTATTACCGGAGAAATCGAATTTTCACGCATTTGCGTTAAAAAACGCACGCACAGTATGTTTTTCACTTGTGTTTTTCATATTACGGGTGAAACTTTAAAGATAAATTAACTGTCGATAAATAGTGATTTTATGCAAACAGTCACGCATTAGAGTTTCACCCGTTTTACGTGAAATGGCGTAATACTCCATGTGAAAAACGCGATATGAAGTGAATTGAAAATACTTGGCGAATTACATCGGACAAATCCGCCCATTTCACGTGGAGCACATCACGTATTTTACGCGTTATCCACTAACCACATGCGTTTTTCGCGAAGTGAAATGTGAAATGTGTTTTTCATATCACGGGTGAAACTCCAATACACAGCTAGTTATAGATAAAACAAGGTTTTATAATTTTTCGATTTTTACCAAAAAAATTTACCAGGTATTGGCGGACCGCCGAATATGATTTTTGTTCTCTTGACGAATCCTGATCCACTGTGTTGGCGAGGAACATCAGCAACAATGAATGTTGGTAAGCAAAAAAAATTTAAAAAAAATTTTTTGTGGATTTTTTTCTCCCAGTTATTCACGTTTTTACTCGTCTTCCAGTGCTGCTTGCGGGCTCACTGTTCGACGATGTGGATTTGTGCACAATTGTTGTCCTCAATCTTGGTGCTGTCTGTGGACTTATGTTAGGGAATCAACTCAGTCGTTATGTTAGTAAGCAAAAGGGTAGTTGGTGTGGATGCGAAAAATGGGGGGATTTGATCAGTTTATTTGAATAGTTCATATATTGGAGTTTCACCCGTTTTACGTGAAGTGGCGTAAAACTCGCGATATTCGCGGTGATATGCAATAGTCGTGAAATAGATTTCCCACTAACGTTTTTCATATCACTAGGGTGGTGAAACTCCGTTTTTTTTATCGCAATAGAATATGATTATATATTGGAGTTTCGGCCGTTGTACGTGAAGTGGCGTAAAACTCGGTGAAAAACGCGATATTCGTGGTGATATGCAGTAGTCATAAATTGTATTTCCCACTATTGTTTTTCATATCACTAGGGTGGTGAAACTCCGTTGTATTTATTTTATCGCGCCAGATTAGGATTATAGGTTGTTTATTTTCGCGGTTATCAATTCACTTAATTTTTCTTGATTGTGTTTTTTCCTCACCGGAGTTGGAAAAAAACAATTTTCACCATTTTGGGGTTACTCTCGAGCAGCAGTGTGGGAATATATATGTTTGCTTTCTTCAACTGCGTTTAGAAGTTTCCTCACTAATTATAGAAGTTCATATACGGATCCGAGTAAAAAGTAAAAAAGTAGTTGAGTATTTCCCGAAATTTCCTCGAAATTTCCATTTTGGCAGCAACATGTGTGGTTAACAGTGTGTATATTTGACCGCACTGTGGAGCAGTGTTGGAGGAAATTATTTTCACTTTTTGTAAAAATTCTGGTAGAAGTGTACAGAAAATCAGAAAGAATTTTCTCAGAATTTCCATATTGTTACCAACACATGCTCTTAGTAAGAATATCTACAAATAATGTGCGAATATCACCAGCAAGAATTTCCCAGAATTTTCATCATCAACACATGTAGTCCCTCCCCCCCCGAGTTCAGGTCTTCCGATGTTTCGTGCCTCTATTGATCTCGTGCTGGTGGTGTCGTCGTTTATGATGACTCCGTTGTTCATACTGGTTCCTCTGCTCGGTGTTGCGACACTTTGGGTAGTTTTTAAGCTGGCCTTGTACGAGTATAGGAAGCGCCGAAATTACGGTAAGTGTTGGTTGGCAATTTGATACTATGCAAATGTGAAGAATGTGCGTCGTTTTCTATTCCGGGATTAATGATAGTGAACAATTTGTCGCTATCATAGTCTCGAAAGGTTACTTTTATCACATCACATCATGTAAACATGTTTCACCCGTTTTACGTGAAGTGGTGTAATACTTGGTGAAAAACGCGATATTCGCGATATGCAGTAGTCGTGAAATATGTTTTTCACTAGGGTGGTGAAACTCCAACGTTTACATTATTTATTATTCTAAAGCGATTCTATCGAGTTTAAATGCACTGTGTTGGCACGGTATTGAACTGGCGTGTACTGATTATTATTATTTTCATTTCTCTCAGGTGAGGAGGTGCGAGAGCCGCTGCTTCCGTAAGTCGTTACTCACGACGAACTAATATGAAGGTACCTTCTTATCTAACTCTCAATAATCACTGCTTCTTGGCGTCGCCGAGTGTTGAGTTGTATTTACTAAGATGTATTTATCATTTTCGCTTCCTATTGTTACGAGTGTTGAGAAAAAGTGTGGAGCACAGCGGAGCGAAGCGCTTCACGATGTGCATTATGTGTAACGGTCACGAATATGATAGTTTCACTTTAGCAGATGAAGGGACATCACTGTATCAGTAATTACCACGGAATAATAAATTTGTCATAAATAAATAAATCATAAATTTTTTTCCGAATTTGCCCGAGAGAAAATACGCATGTTGTATTTGTTATGTAAACTTTTTGAATTCACAAAACGAAAAATTCGTTTTGTGAAAAATTTCGTCAAAAATTCGAAAACGCAAAATATGTTGATGTCAAAAGAACACTTTGAATTCGGTCGTGTATAGTGTGTGATATGCAAATGTGGAGAATGTGCGTTTTCTATTCCGGGATTAATGATAGTGAACAACTTGTCGCTATCATAGTCTCGAAAGGTTACTTTTATCACATCACATGTTCATACCAATGTTTACATTGTTCATGCGATATAGTTTCAGATCGATTCTTATCACACTCGTTTCACCCGTGATATTCAAAACACTAGTGAAAAACATTTTTCATGACTAGTGCATACAGCAAATATCACGTTTTTTTCACTTCGCGTAAAAACGGGTGAAACTCCGATGGCTGCGCGATATAATTACTTTCACATTTTGAACTCACTCAGTGGCCTCCTCTATTCTCAATCTTCTCTAATGAGTCTGCCATTGCTCGGGGTTCTCTTGGTCTGTCTCAACTCGTTCCTCTCATGCATAATTTACGCCATCAGTGGATTCGGAAACGCCATTTTGTATCATATCATATGGTGAGTGTATTGTTCGGGATGATATTTATCAG